TGAAAATTTGTTTAAGTCAGCATAAGATAGTTCACAATCATCAAAAGTTAATATGTAAACTGAACAATGTACACTCATGAATCAATAAATGAATTCATTTAAAATTGAAGAATCTCATTTCCAAACATCCATTGTACCAAATTAGATATCCATCAATAATCCACCAAGATTAAAAAACTGCTCATCAAGTGTTATAATAGTTAAGAGTGTGTTTTATGCTTACTCGGCGATGGCGTATGTACAAGGACCGTAAATCAGTTTACGAAATGGCGAATAATCTTGTTGTGAGCCAGTATTTTCATATTACCACCTCGGCCTCTTCACATTGAGTACATTGCAAACGCTTCTTCAATTACTGGGAGCAATTGTGATAATTGCTACGAAAATATCTCCTGATTTGCTCTGTGGCTGCCACAATTTGAGTCAGTGTGAATGCATTGCTGAACCACATGCACTCCAGATTACGGTGTGAAATAGGTCTAACTGCCGTTTGACACGGGCTTCTACGTAAATTTTATGCCCCATTTTTGAACATTGTTATGTCTTGCGGCAGAGGTAAAGATGATGAGGCGGACTACATCGTGAATCATGATAAGACATTAACTAAAATTAATTTCTTGTCGTACGGACATGTTAAATTAAAGAAATTGAATAACAGGGTACCAATTTTACGTCCCTTCTTTGACGGGAAACCTGGATACGTATTTCGTGCGTCTGAGCGTGTCTTTACTATGGTTATAATTACAGTGAGTGTATTGCATATTACATCGCGGGTAGAGGCGGTGTTCGACCTCATGAGATCAGACGCCGACATACATTTCGGCAGGTGGTTTTTTTCTACTAGGAGTATCTCCCCCAGCAAAGAACAGTTCCAGCCGGGACAAGCAATAACGGCCAATTTCACCGTTACTTAAACTTTCAAGTTCGCCTTAAGAATATCAAGGTAGACTTAAGAGATGACTCCGTTTCACCACATCATTTAAGGCTAACTAAAATATAAGTCGAGCTTATTGTTTAAGCACATCTCTCAGTTGCACTTCGACATTTTAAGTCGTGCTTTACGGCGCAAAAGCAGTCCAAATAACGACCGTTGAAAGCTAAATGAAAGGGATTGATTCCGATTTTGCGTATCAAAGATGGCAATACTACATATTTTGGAACTAATTGAAGACCGACTGAGGCAAGTTTGCAAGTTTACTCCATAGTTAATTACAATTAACTATGGAGTAAAGTGTTACTACAATTTCGCCTAATAAATGTTTCATATATTATGCTTACGTGGTCCTATATCTTCTTTGAACTTCCAAGTTTTACATTCAGTAATTTTTGTTTTTTTGCATTTTCTTTTCATCTAAATCTAATCCTCTCCACAACTTTATTTACTGTATGCTATATTTCATTTTGTAGTTCGTTTCTTTAAATTAGCTTTCAATGTTCCCCAGTTATGATTTTTGTAGATTTTTTTGTCATTCGTAGCTTTATTTTCTACAATAGAAAAGTACTCTCTCATATATGCGATGAGCCATGTGTCTCCGACTATGAAAATTTCGCAATCTTCTTCCTTTCCTTATTACGAAAACCCATTAAAAATAACTTCTTTGAACAGAGTATAAAGCAGAACCAAGACAAATAAGGTTGGATAAAGTTACTGGATGGTTTACCAGGGTCCAAGAATTGCCAACTAACTCTCCGATGCATTTAAGTTATACTTCACTAAGCATTCCGTGAAAGAGGGTGGTGAAACGACTAACAGCAAAGCACAACTTAAATTGCGTTTTAAAGTTAAGTATGAATTTACTAAACTTGATATGCCCTTAAACACAAAATAATTAATCATTCAGTTGAGTAGTGATTTCTTTCCTCTTCACAACAATGCCAAAGTAAAGCGAACAAAAATAACGTTTGGAAAGAAAACAGTGATATAAGTAACATACGTTTTCAATATAACATAACACTGTAAAATATTATTGTGCAATACTATTTTCCGACCAGGATGGTCCAATTTTCATGAGGTTTCACATAAAGAATGTAGCTTCGTAAGGGCGTGAAATTAAAAGAATGAAACAGCATGAAATAGCTAGGCAAAGAGGCAAAAGAATAAAGATAAGAAGAATTAGAAGAAGTACAAAGAGAAGAAGCATATAAAAAAGAGAAGAAAAACAAGATGTAAAATGAGAGATGAAATAGGATGGAGAGAGATACGGAAGAAGTAGCATGAAAAGGTAGAGAAAATAAGCAGTTGTAACACGAGAACGATAATGAAAAAAATTGGAAAAGTTCGTTTAATACTTTTCAAGCAGGTGTTAATATTTCACTAAGATCTCCTGAACCGACCGTCCAATCTCATACCGCCGGACCGCAGTTCGACCTCGCAGTAGAGAAGAAGAGAAAAGGAGAAGAAGGTGCAGTAAAAGAAAAGAAAATGAAGGTAAAATGGAAATAGAGAATGTGAAGAAGAAGGAAAACAAGCGAAACAGAAAAAGAAGGTTAATAAAAAGAAGGCGAAACAGAAACAAAAACAAGAAGGAAAAGAAAGAAGAACGAAAAGAGGAATAAAAAAAGGAAAAAAATGAGCAGCTGAAACAAAAGAACGACAATAAAAAGGAGCACAAAACTTCGTTTAAAATTTTTCGAGCTGGAGTAAATATTTCACTTACATCCACTGAAGCGACCGTTCATTCTCGTACTGCCGGTCCGCAGTACGACCTCGTAGTAGAGTAGAAGACACAAGTAGAAGGAGCGGTAAATGGGAAGGAGGGTAAAAATGGAAAAAGATAATGTGGAGATGGAGGCGAAACAAGCGAAAAAGACAGAAGAAAAGTAAAAAGGAGGCGAAAGTGAAACAATAATAAGAAGGAAAAGAAAGAAGAACGAAAAGAGGAAGAAGAAGAAAGGGGAAAAATGAGCAGCTGCTGCATGAGAACGACAACAAAAAAAGCCCAAAACTTCGTTTAACACTTTTCGAGTTGGAGTAAATATTTCACTAAGATCCACTGAAGCGACCGTCCACTCTCGTAACCGCCGGCCCGTACTCCTGCCGTGGAGCGCCGACCGCCGATTAAGACATCCGCCGGCCTCCACTCACTCCGCCGCCGCTTAATGAGCGATCGCGCGTTTAACGCGGTTTATGACGCGTGGCTCCCAGCGGCTGAGCAACGCGTCGCGAACTAACTCATGCCGCCTAATTACTGCTGCGGAGCTGATCGCAAACGCCGGTCCCTTAAGTGCTGGACGTCAGGAGGTCGACGGGAACGTAATGCTGCCTGGGGGAGTTAGAAATGCCACGTCGAAGACATGTGACGTGGGACGTAGTTGCGGGAAAATTAATGACGATCAGTATTTCGTCAGGAGTGCCTCGGATATTAGTTTTAAAGACACTAATACTATTGCCCATCCTGTTCTTACGTTTGGCAGTGAATCAAAAATAATCACGGAAACAGATAAAAGTTTAATTCAGCCGACTGAAATGAAATTTTAACTCAGTACTCTAGGATAAGTAGGTTAAACCTGCAGTCGTCACAATTCAAGGGTTAAAAGAACGCCTAGTTTATATAGTTTATAGTTTTTCTGCCGAATTCCTCCGCCGAGTTTCGCACAGCATTACATAACCTTCTCTCTACTGCGTAAGTGTTAGCGAGAAAGTAAAACTCAGTTAGTCAAAGTAAAATATCTACTGTGATGGAACTGCGGCATGCTTGCTACATGTCTCCGCAGGCGTGCAGAATAAACAAAAAAACAGGATCCAGACTTGCGAACGCAGCTACTCAAAGGTGTATTAATCTGACCCTAAAATGGCAAACACATACAGCAAACCCTCACACGAATTCCAAGGCACCGAATAATCGGAGTTCGTGTTAAAAAAATTTCGAGTAATCCAATTACTATAAATGACAGTGTTACTATAATTCCTTGCAGGGACGCATATTTTGTACGTGTTAGGCGAGTTAATGAAATTCGAGCTAGGCCAGTTCGAGGTAACGATGGTTAACTGTAGTTTATCAGTAGTATTTGAAGGTGCCCCCGAAACCGATATAACTTTTGATAAAAGGAGATAGGTGTTTTCTTAGCAATGAAATATATATGATTAAGTTTCATTCATCACTGCAAATTTAGCACTCCAGGTAGAGAGGAATGTTTATATTTTTAATACGACAAATGTATTTACTCTCAAATGCTGTATATTGTTGTATCTATTGCATTTGTATAAAATATCGGCTGTATCTTCGGTTAATTATACTATAATTGTTTTCGGTTTTGTTGAAGCAAACCATTTTTCATTGTTTTAAAACGAATTTGCTAAGCGAGTTCGTGAAATTCGTGTAGAGTGAGTTTGTGCTAACGAGAGTTTACTGTATTCCATCAGTAGTATTTTAAGGGGCCCACCAAACCGATATAATTTTTCATAAAAGGGGATAGGTGTTTTCGTAGCAATGAAATATATATGATTAAATTTCATTAATCACTGGAAATTTAGCCCTCCAAGTAGAAAGGAATGTTCACGTGTTTAATAAAAATGAATAGTATTTACTCTTAAACGCTGTACATTATTGTATTCATTCCAATTGCATAAAAAGCGATTGTATTTTCGGTTCAGGTAATTATATTATTGTCTTCGATTTTGTTGAAGTAAACTGTTTTTCGTTGTTTTAATAAAAATTGTCAAGAAATCGTAAATATGTATATGTGCGCTAATTTTATTATTATATTTTATTTGCGCTAGCAGTAGAAACTTATTAAAAAAATATGCAACGGCGTGCATGATCTTCAAATCCCACAAGAAAAGTTTTCATCAAAAAATTAGAAAAACCTTTCACAAAATTTTGTTTTGCGTTGACAATAAACTTGCAACCTTTCAGTTATGGAAAATTCAAATTTCAGGAATGATAGTTGATTTGGTTCTTTTTATATTTTGTCACATTCTATTTCACCAGTAAGTACTTGCTAATTTGTGCTCTTTTCTAAATTGTCTACCCAGATGGAGCATTCACACAGGCAACTACCTCCTCATCTTCAAAATAATAATAATTAATAAAATGCCCTCTTCCAAGACAAATCGGCGTCACACTGATCGGTACAGAGAATGCAAATTATGATAAATACACACGTACCGAAGGGAAAGCCATTAAATGTATCACTTATGTCATAAATATAAACCAATTCATCAAACAAAATACATTACATATTTAGCACAAATGATTTATTTTAGAAAAAATAAAGTCTGCTGGACGCTATTCCTTTAGTCATCCATCCTCAGAAAAATCGTGGGTACGCCTCTGATGACAAACATTACACGTTCCATTTTCATCAGTAATTCGATCGTTATTATTGCAATTTCGGAAACAACTGCGTTAATTAGCAGCGCTGTGCTAGCTTCACCGCAGCTCGAGGTGATTCAGCTCCTGTGATCGCTGAGCGTGCGAACAGAGCCTGTAATATTCCGCGTCGCGTGAGCTTCGCCTGGTTGCAGGGCTCAGAAGCGCGGAATGAAGGAGGCGGTGGTGGTGGGGGCGGTTTGGGCACGAAAGCCGCGGAAATACAGACAGCGTCGGTGGCACCAAAGGCAAGGCGTAGGTAGGCGGAATGCCGTTCTTCATTGATGTTTCCAAGCGCGTAAACTGATATGGTTATTAGTCCTGTGATAGTAGTGCATGTCTTTCATCAAGGGAGGTCACAGGGTTCCTCCTCTGATCGATGGTGAGATCTCCTGACGACCTACCGTCGGGTAGCGGGGTTTTCCCCAACCAAGTATCTTTTATCAGTGGGTTACCGCCCCAGCTGGGACTAGCTCTAAGCTCCCGAACCGGTCTCCCGGCGTATATAGTAGTGTAGAGCATGTCAGTGTGTGTGGGGTGATGATAGGGTAAGGAAGAGGAAGGAATGAACGCGCGCGGTCCGTGGCCCGTTTTTTAGAGTACTACTCCAGCATTCACCTGGTGTTGATCGGAGAAACCACAGAAAACTAGCAACCAGAGTAGCCGGCCGCTAGAATTTTCCTCCACACAGCGGATGAATTCGACGTAGCTTTTTAGTTACTTTCGAGACCGACGTCCATGTGGACTCGAACTCTTGGACCTCACGGTCAGAGACACTACAGCGACAGAGGCAATTCTATCAGTGGCTAATGTTAATTGATTATCTATTTATTTTTCGCTGACTGTGTTCTAAACTCTGAATTATATCACTGACTAATATTTATTGATTGTCTACTTAGTTGTTATTTATTTTTCGCTGACTTTGATCTGAACTCTGAATTATATCACTTATGAATGTTTATTGCTTGTCTATTCAGTTGTTACTTATTTTTCGCTGACTTTCATCTGAACTCTGAATTATATAAATTATTAGTGTTTATTGATTGTATATTGAGTTGTTATTTATTTTTCGCTGACTTTGTTCTGAACTCTGAATTATATCACTGACTAATGGTTATTGATTGTCTATTTAATTGTCATTTAATTTTTGCTAAATTTGTTTTGAACTGTTGAACGGTGGAGTCAGCGAAGATCCGTACTTGGCAATATGAATGAGTGAGGCGACTGAAAGAATCCTGCCAGTGAGAACGGATGGGGAGGCAAAGAAACAGGAGTTGAATGTGAAAGCAGCGTCGGAGACGGCGACTTGAAATCGAGAGATTCGGAACGGGCGTGCAGTGTCAAAGAGTCCCGAGGTGAATGTCCAACCACCGAGCAGCAGAGTGGGAGTTACGAAACGTGTGGGCAGCAGAGTGCGCAAGATAATTCGTAAGAACCGCGATAACATCTGCGTCAACGGAGGCATCGAGAGATGCGGAAATTGTTCGGAATGGCGGCAACGGGCATGGGACAGCAGATGAACGCGGCGAGGGTCACTGGCGGCGCGAGAGCGGAGAGTGGCGGAGTGCGGTAGACACGAGGGAGACTGCGCAACGGTGGAGACTAAGTAACTGCCTGGAGGCAATGGCGCTGGTGCAGGCGAATAGAGACGAAAGCTAGCCGGGTTGGGGCAGGTGTGGAAGATGTGGCAGGGGAGGCAGGTGGGGCAGGTGGGGCAGGTAGGGCATGTGGGACAGGTGGGGCATGTG